TCCCTCCCTCCTTCCCTCCCTCCTTCCTTTCTTTCCTTCCTATTTTAAAAGATTTATTTATTTATTTTATGCATGTGAGTACACTGTAGCTGTCTTCAGACACACCAGAAGAGAGCATCAGATTAGATGGTTGTGAGCCACCATGTGGTTGCTGGGAATTGAACTCAGGACCTCTGGAAGAGTAGCCAGTGCTTTTAATCATTTAGCCATCTCTCCAGCCCCCAGGGGTCATTTTCTTTAAGGAAACTCTGGTTCTCTTGGAATTGTTATATATTCAGGTAAATTTTGAATGTTTTCTTTCTTAATAACTTGAGATTTTTCCTTTCCTGCTTAACTTTAAATGTTTTGAAAGCATTCTGCTGTTAAAACCTGAGAACAGAGCTTTAAGGATTAGGTAGTCCTTTACTTACATTAATGTGATATTGTTGGTACGTGTCTCCTTGTCATTAGGTTGCCCCCAACGATGAAGCTGTGGTGACATTGTTATGTGAATGGGCCGTGAGCTGCAAACGGTCTGGCAAGCACAGGGCCATGGCTGTGGCGAAACTCTTGGAGAAAAGGCAAGCAGAGATTGAGGCAGAGGTAGGTCTGTTTTTCTCTCTTTTTATGCATGACATCGTTAAATATGCTGCTGTGAGGAGGGGTATCGTCCCCATCATCTTATCCAGTTAGCGTTCTTTGTTTTGAGGAAGGAGTGGGAGGGATATATATCCTCCTCTTCAGACTCATTGGAGTATCTAAGTAGACATGGACGATAATTCCTATTCTAGAATAATTAAGAATGTATCTTTAAAATTAAACATTTAGATAAGAACGACGGAACCCAATTGTGTGAAATGGCGATTCATACAACGGCAATAAACATATGTAAACTTGTGTGTGGTGTAAAGCAACTTTCTGACGTTTTAAAGCCACATCATGTATTAGTACGAAACTGTTTTCTAGAGACAGGATTATGAGATCATAGACATCAATTTGAATTATTTTTTTGATATTATGATTTAGTTCTAAATTAGAATCATTAAAGCCTCAGATATATAAGACCAAAAAACAAAACAAAAAAGAACAGTCAACGTTTGTCAGTGTTAGCTGCTGTTGAAGGGGAATTTTCTAAGTGAGCTTTCTTTTTCTCTGGTTTTGGTTTTTCAAGACAGGGCTTCTCTGTGTAGCCCTGGCTGTCCTGGAACTTACTCTGTAGACCAGGCTGGCCTCAGCATCAAGTTCTACCCACCTCTGCCTCCTTAAGGTGCTGGAGTTAAAGGTGTATGCCACCACACCCAGCTAAAAGTGAGCTTTCTTAATAAAAGCATTAGCCCAGTGGCCACAAGGAGTGTATGTGATCTGTTGAGGACCATGTGACCTGCCTCACCTTGATGACTTCTGGCCTCTTATGCTGTTCTACTTGTACTTTCCTTTCCCCCTCCTCTACACAGATCCCAGAGTGGGCTTTTAGACATGTAGACAGAGCATAGTTCCCCTTCCTGAGGTAGACAGGGCTCCCTAAGGCCCACAGAGCATCCTTGGTTTGCCTCGCCTGCCTGTCCTGTAACATCTGGTACCTGTTGCCCTCTGGGCTACCGTTCTATCCCTAATCTCCGCTGTTCTGTTCCCTCACCACATACAACTTACTTTTATTTTTTGGGCCATGGATCTTGCTGTTCCTTCTGGATGGCAAATTCTGCTCCTGATTTTCATGCCCAGTGTCTCTCTATAGAGCACTTCTGTTTTACTGTCACTTCCGTGGAGCATCTTTAGACAACATGTCATCCCCTAGGTGATGGTAAGTCTGTCATCACTGTGGGATCAGCGTCCACCCCTAGCAGCTCTTAGCACACCACTCAGGTTTACAGTATTTTCCTCATTGCGGCCCAAGTGAATGTAAATGATATGCTTGTTGTTTAATGTCTGCCTTCCCCTGTCAGACAGTGACCTTGACAACGGTGATCTTGCCCATCCTGCTCAGGTTTCTGTGTCTGGTCTCCTGGGTAGTGGTGTGAATGCATGTACGTCCACCTGGGTCTCAATAAGGCTGATACTAACTTCCTGTGGAGTTACGGGGAATGGGAGGGGAAGGACAATTTCACAGATATCTTCTCTCCTGTTGGCAAAGCTGCATTCCTCAAAAACAAGACCTTGCAACAAAAACAAGTTCTTGCAACTGGAACTTGAAGATACTGTGAAGGTGTGAGCAAATGGTCACTGTACAGTGTAGACTGGGAGAGCCTTTCAGGGTTGTTTTCTACATATGAGAAGCACACTGTCCTATGGTAACTGTAGTGACCAACTAGACCTCACCAACTAACGATGCTTTTCTCACTGATTTGTGTCTCTTTCTAGTTTTTTTCTTCGTCATTTAAATACTAGTTCCTTTTCTCTCTGTATTTCATAAGGCATGCACATGTGTGCCCATCCATAGGCTTTTAAAGGAGAGGTTCACATAGAGCCTACTTTCAAAGCAGAAGGAAACCTATATCTAAAACATGTATTACTTAGAGTTGGCTAAGATAATAATTTCTATTATTATTGGAGTCATTAACATCTGACCTTTGCAAACAGGATAGACTGAATAACTGGTATTTTAATATAATATTCTTAATAATTTAATTGCATTAAAGACTAACATCAAAATAGAAAACATCAAAGAAATATCAAAAAGAGTAGAAGTGATGGCTCTGGTTATAGCTAAACAGTTTAATCTCCTGTCTTAGTAAATTCTGCAGTAATTAGAAGTTAAAGTAACTTTTCTAGATGTGTTTCATGAACCACAGAGATTCTTAGAGGTCCTAGGAAATTCTTTTGGTAAAGTGTGATGAATAAGCAAAGTAATGTTTTTGGAAGAATTGTCTACTTTTTCAGTTTGTACCTCCTAACACACATTCATAAATACATCTCTGATACATTCACAAAACACAGCATAGTCAGATCCATCACCATGTGCCAGACAGTTAGGAGAACACGATTAGTCATGAACTCAAGCTGTTCCAGGTAGTTTTGCATATGAGTAAGAAATATTATATGGTACTATCTTAAATATTCATTTGGATGCTTTCACAGTACAGAATTTACTGTACAGTATAGGGCAGAAATTACTGTTCATACAGATCATGTTCTTTGAAATCAACTGAATTGTTGTGGAGTGTTTTCCTCTATTAGAAATTATATTCACTGTAGTAATTGGTCCTCAGCTATCTGAAGTCTCAGTTGCACATTTTGCTAAGAGGTCAGCTGTTTATAAGAGCTGGCTGATGATCAACACCTGTGCTAATTGCACTGGTGCTCGCTCTTCTGACTCACTGCTCTTGTTTGTCCTTACCCTCTAGAGATGTGGGGAATCAGAAGTCCTAGATGAGAAAGAGTCAATTTCTTCAG